TTGACATTCGTATACTAGCATGACTAGCGTGTCTCATGTACCAATAGGAGTCCATCTGTTGTAGGATGCCCTGAGGGAAAGACAGTACCGGTACATGTAGCTATCAGCATTAACTTGGTACCGCCTTTATTAGGGTGCCTGGCTGACTTCAACATTAGTCTGAGCCCCGTTGATTTGCATGGAAGAAAATGTATGTTCAGAGAGCTGGACCAGTATCATCACTTTTCGGCTTTGTCAGCTTACAAAGCCTTGAATTTCCAAACCTAATGCAATAAACTTGTCAGAAAGAAAAATTGAAATTCAACCAAACACATCTAAATTGGTGGGGAAGTGCGAAAACATGCATTTACCATGACGACCGCGGCCTGATTAATTCACTGACCGGGGACTAATATAACAGCTCGGCTTCCCCTCGCCAACCGTTCCCTCGCCTTTCATCTGCCCGCGACTTCTGTGACATTTAACTCGAGTTCTCGGACCGAACGCTGGAGGGGCAAGGTTCCTCAGCTGTGTGTAATTGCCTCGTAAATTCCCGCGATGGCTTGGCCGTTGTGCAAGGAGCTCGCCGGAAATTAGTTATGATGGCCAAAACTTAATTACCCCGTGTTTACTCTCACCACTGACTTAGAATCTATTTCCTTTGTTGGTTATTTCTATTTCTTAATTTTCTTTTGTGCATCCTTTTTTTCTCTCTCCTGCCATTGTTGGACAAATGCTTTGTCCAAGTCTCTGAGGAAATTTCCTTGAGGGTTTTGACAAGTCCATCTGAGGACTGGCTATGTTGTAGAGATTTTAATCTTGCTGCAGTGAGGTGTTTTTCTTGGAGAGTTTGAGCAGTTGATGTTGGGAAAGGAGAAGAGAAGGTCTGTACATCTCTATTGTAAGAGGACAAGTTCCAGGCATTAGGACACAACATTTTTTAAAGAAAGTGGGAAAGATATATATATTTGACTTTGACTTTATTTGACTTTATTTGTTTAGGGTTTATAACTTGAAAGTGTAAGCCCTTAGTTTTGGGGTGAAGTTGTGTCAAGGCATTTGGTTCATCTTTTGTTGGTGTGGCCTCCTGTTGGAGCTATGGTAGGGTAATCTGTCAGTCTGCATCACATTCTGTGGTTTCTGTACAGAAGTTACATTTAATTGATTTTCTCCCTCTTCAAAAAAAAGTTGGTCGTCTTTTCTGCAGAGGTGTTGTAAGACTTGCAGAGACTCTCCTTCTGTTAAGTGTGACCTGTGAGCTCCAAAAGTTTAGGAATCCATGGTTTCTTTTTGCCTGAGAAAATTTTAATTTCAAGTAATCTGTTCAAATTTAGTCGACTTTCATGCAGCTGCAAGTTGGAAACAATATATTTTGTTTAAAGCTCTTAGTGTTAATGTGCATTTTCCAGCTGTGTGTATGCACCTTGAATATGACAAAAAAAGCCAATCAACTATTCCGGTTGTTGACCACTGTACTTTCATTTACTCGTAAATGTGCAGAGTTTAGATACAGAATGATATATCCATTTTTCCCCTCCTGAGGAAATCCACTTTAAAAATTCACTGAGCCAATTGTGCACAGATGGGGACTGTCCATTGCGTAACATCACAAGATGTCTGCGAATTGTAACTCCAAGGAAATTAAATTGTTTGAAGCAGTTATAAGTAACAGATTGCTTTTCCCCATTTTTGTGAAGTTTTGCATGCTGCATCTGAACTCTTCAATATCAAAATTCAGTCTGACTTTTGCTTTTTGTGGGTTGCGTATTGGTCATAGAGTGTTTTTACACAATGTTACTTGGACTGGCCGTATAATCATTTGGTGCGATCCTGTTTTTGTTTTCCCATGCTTGGGTAAAATCTTAGGAATTTAAGACACGCTTCCAGCAGACAAGCAACTACATGTACTCATTGTATGTATCATGGGCATAAATTTGGGGGGGGGGGGTATGTATCCACCCACTTTTTGAAGGGGATGGGCTATCATATTTTTATTCGACAATATTTATGGTAATATTACATGTATGTTAATTTTATGTATTATAATCTTTGTCATTTTGATATTTTCTTGTATAAGCTGTCATAAATTCAGCCTGTGTGCTGCTATGGACGGTCAAGTAAACCATAATAATAATAATAACCCCCCCTCCCGCTCTTTCTTGATGAGAAAAAAAGTTGGATTTTGACGACTTTTTTGAACTTCCAACAATCCAAAGGTATTCAATTGCACTCAAGAGGGAAAACAATCAAACTAGCCACAAATATGCCATGCAAGATTCTACAGAAATGTAAAACAGGTTACAGATCTACATCTGTATCATCAACATCGCCCCCTATATAGTGTCATGTCATCCCCCAGTTGCCGGGGCAGATTTATGCCACTGGTACATGTATGTGTACATTAAATGCAGCAGAAATAAAAGATCCTTCCCAGGAGCTGTGATGTTTGAACACCTGCTTGTGTGAGAATCGGTCAGAGTGCAAATTTTTGGCCGTCCGCAAATGGAAAAAAATGGAAACCAAGAAAGTGGGAAGCGTGTGTGCTGTAAACATTGCCTTTTCGGCCAAAGCCACTAAAAAAAACTCAGGATGGCACAGCGTGTCTGTAAATTTGCTGAATTCTCTCACCTTGGGCACTCCAGCTGCCCATTGGTGCTATTAATTTATCACACGATGTTCAGCCCTAGTGGTAGCTCTGTAGATGACTAGAGTGTTGTATTGATTTTTTTTTACCAACGGTGTGGACTTGAGAAGAAATGCCAACTCAGGTGATTACTTTTCATTTACTTCTCCTCCTAGCAGCACAGGTACATGTACATAGTAGTTGACAGCCTGCAGTGATTGAGACTAGGTTTTGAAAGAGGGAAGTGTCATTTCCCACTTAGAATTTCATAATGGTTAAGTTGTTCTCACAGTAGACTTGAATCGTGCATGTGATTTTTTTTACCGCAAACATTCCGAAGTGCTTCTTACTTTTAACGGTAATTTCAAGGAACTGTTTGTTAATATAGTTGATCCAAATACCCTACGTGTGTAATTCCAAAAGCCAAAAAACAGACTTTCCCCTGCTGAGGTCTGTGTGGATTGCATTCATCGTGAGAACAAAATCGAATCTCAAAAACTTGTTCACTTTGCAGGTATTTTTCTTAACCCTGGCAGTTGCCAGGGGCTAATTTAGTTTGCCCAGGAGTACTGGGGCTAATAAGATTGGCTCATAACCACCCCCTATTGACTGCAAGCTTTGACCACCATGCTTGAGGGTTGGAGCCCCTGATGAGCAGTACCTTACCTGAACACCGCCTGCCTCCCAGGCTTGTGCAGTAGGATTTTATTCTGTCAAGGGGATGCCTCATGATGGAGGGTACAGTGAGGTGGACCCCCACGGGTGGACGAAACGAATGTCTCAGAGGTGCAGCACTGGAAATAAGTTGCCTTAGAGAACAGTGATAAATATCGGTACCTCCTCTTAAAAAAATCGGGAAAAAAGTCTCGCAGGTCTCTCAGGTGTTCAAGACACACATCAAATTAAACCTCATTTTTTCCATTTTCCTTTCAAGTTTTTGTGCTCTTTGAAGATAATTCCCTCCGGATCTGATCACCCCTAAAAGCAGTCAGGAAACCCACCACTGTTTTGGAAATTAATTCCTGCACTCGATCGCAACATAAAGCAATTTGGAGGATGTTTTGTCCAGTGGTTTATACAAGCTGGTATTCCTGCTGGTAGCCTCCGTACCTGGTACCTCTACCAACTATCCATCCATCCATGTGTCCTTACCGTGCAATACATGTATGGCAGACTCTTTTTACTTCATTTTACTTCCGGTACAAAATGCCAGACACATGTAGGTGATGGGTGTGGGTGATTGTGGTTGAACATTGCACCTTAAATATGAGTATACATGTACCTTGGATTAAGATTAAGACTTACTGGTCCAAAATGAAACAAGCCATTTTCCTTTAAATGCTTTCTTTGTATTAGTGCCCCTTAAGTTAGAGGAGCAAATTTTTGTGGCACCGCTAAGTAACACTGGATGTTACAGTCACCTCAAAGATACACGTACATATGTAATTAGTAAGCTAAAAGGCTTATAGTGTACATCCTATTAAAATGACTGAACTTCTCTCTGTGCCAAATATGACACCTGCAGCGACACATCTCCGGTCATGCATTATTCACTGTGAGAGTGAGTGATGACTTTTACTTGAGCCTTGAACAACGGTAGTTTCCCTTAGGCAACAGATCATCATTTGACAGTATTATTCATTGAAACTGAATCTTTTGTCCAAAAGGAGACTCTCATCTAACATTCACCAATGATAGCAGCTGCTCTCAGTTCTAAAGTGGAGATATGTGTTTCGGAAGGGGGGGTTGTTTTACAGAATTTAAGTACTACTTCAAGTTGTTTGTATCTGATCCTGATGACTGGCCATTTTACAGAGTTGTAGACTCGAGTCACTTGACTTGGACTCATGTTTGATTGGAGACGCTATTTTTGTGACTCGTGACTCGACTTGTAACTATCAGTTTTTTACTTGGCTTATTAATAAGACTTGCAAAAAATGACTTGTGACTGACTTGGACTTGCAAAAAATGACTTGCTACCACCTCTGCCATATTGTCCCCTGTTGGTGGACGTAAATGATGAAGAATAAATTTATTTGCTTTCAGACCATAGAGGACACCAGTTAATGAGGAGGATTCAAAATTCATTGCTACGTGCAGTGTACTCCTACTAAGCATTTAGCATGGATGTAGTAACGAATTTTGTAATGAATCTGTCATTGTGCAATTGAGAATTAAGGAGAAGGCAGGGTAACAGCCCAATCTATAGTCACAATGTACACCACTGGTGAATCATTCTTTGGGTTTTCTTACTGCAAGCTCACACATTCATCTGATACATGTACTCGTAAACTAAGCCCTGGCAAAGTTACAGTTTGGTATAATTGGGCAGTAATAAGCAGGGGGCTTTTTGTATGAAATGACTGACGGAGGCATTTTCCCGTCTTTTCCCATACAGAGGTCCAACTACCTGCACCGAGAGCTGGCTAAGATAGCGCAGAGGTTCCGCAACATCCGGCTGACCTCCTGGCAACTGCCCACCATCTGGGGCGGGGCCAGCCTCCTCCAGGTCTACCTTCGCTGCATCGAGGACCTCTTGAACATGGAGGACTGGGAGTGGGACTTCTTCATCAATCTCAGCGAGTCTGACATGCCCATAAGGTTTGTACGATGATGAGACAGACTCTAGCAATGTTGAAATTTTACTTGTGAAATGAAGCACTTTGGGACACTGTCTACATGGATACTTGAATGATTAGACAAAGCAAATGGATCATTTGTGAGCTTAGAGTCTGCAACCTGTGGAATATGCCACTGTGCTTTGGAATTAAGTCACAATTAAGTTCATTTCTCTACATTCCTTACCCCAAGCGTGGATCCCAAGACTAGGTATTTCCAGTCCTTTCACCCTTTCAGGAAAGCAACTGTTTTAAACAGTATCCATCCTGGTTGTTGGTTGTGTGAAGGAAAAATAAGACAGTGGTATGGTGACGTGGCGTTGTTCTGTCTAGGAGAAATTGTCACGAGCAGTGGCCAAGCTTGAGAACTTTCTTTTCAGCTTATCATTTTCAGCTGTTTCACACAAGTCACCCTTGCCTACTACGAAACCAATTACAATTGATTTCTTGTTGTTTCAGCCACGTGGTGAATTTGCTGTTTTCTTTTGTGTCCGTATTGCATCTCATGTTACAGAACCAACGACCACCTGGTCCGCTTTCTCACCCGGTACCGCAAGTACAACTTCTTAAAGGCACATGGGAATGACGACGAGAGGTAGGTGGTGCCCAGCAGGTCAAAGGTCAAAACTGCCCAGGAGCCCACTGTCTCATTAGTCCAGCTTCAAACTTCTTGGTGTTGAATAATTCAAGGAGAATCCAGTCCCCATGGGGTCAACATGAACTTGTCACCCATGCATGGACGAGCATTCATATATTGACCGGCATAATATACATATATTGACTGTCCATGAAGGCACCAGTGCATAACTCTGCAGCCTTAGGGGCTGTTATTGCCCAAAAAAGGGTCCCACATTTTCCTCAGCCGTTTTGTCCATGGGGGGAAAGTGCTAATTACTGGTCAAAGACCCAAGGTATACCCACATCTAGATAGACAGTGTCTTGAAGAGTGCCACCCCAACAAATACATGTTACTGTTTCCCATTCTGTCTAAAGCAGCCATTGTCAGAATATCTGGTACCTAGACAAGTCTGAACAAGCAGAGCTTTCTACTTGAAACACACACACACCACAAGATGCATGCATAAATCAAGCGTGTATCAGCAGTCTGTTGGTGAATCCCATGTGACTGCATTTTAGCCACTCGGGAGGGAGAGTCTGCAAGGAATGGGCAAAGATCTCTTCTGCATGGTTGAATGTTATTGCATGTGCACTGGTGCCATGAAGGCATTTTTGAGGATGTAAGCTTTGCTAATTTGCTAAGGGGAGTGTAGGGAGGGCCACAGAATTCTTAAGAACTTTTGTACATTTGTTTCCTTGGTGGGTTTGCACAAAAGGGAATTGGGACAAATTCCATGATAAGCACTCTCTTATTGTGGTTATATCCACAGGATGCCAACAATAATTGTTAGCTGCCAATGTGCGTACTTCCTGCTCAAAGAGTTGGTTAGAAATCATTGCCCTGACCATTCTCACGGAACTCGAATGACTTGGGAAATTTGATTTATGTCTAATGAAATTGTGAGTCTGCATGTCTGCAGTCTGCAGAAAAATTTGAAGGATGAAAAACACAAAGAAGGAAAGGAAAGATGTCGAGAGAGAGAGGAAAAAATGAAGGTGGAAGACATTCGGTATTCATGAAAAAGCCTTGGAATTGATCCGTTCCACTGTTGGCTTATCCCCCCCCCCCAAAAAAAAGCCCTCAAACTCCAGTACAAAGTTCTGCACTTCAGGATTTCCTTAATACTCCAAATCTGCTTTTTTTGATTGTACCCAAATTTTGTGTTTTGGTTTCCTGTTTTGTCTCCCACATTGGTAAAGACTATGAAAGAAATTGGGTTAGAAGTAGGAAATGCAGATAAAATGATCTTGAAGTAAATCTGTGTCATCAAGCTTTTTGTTCCTATGTGAACCGCCAAAATAAACAGGATGCATGTAAAATGATTTTGGGGAAAGCACTCACATTTTATTTGAGGGAAATACCCTTTGCTGTTAAATTTCTGTTTTTCCCCCAGTGTTACTTTAGACACTTGCTTTGGCTGTGTCATTTTTAGAACGTTGTGCCATCTAATTTCCCCCGGGGGGGGGGTAATTTTTGGGATTTTAGGGGTTTTGTGGTTTGTTTGCCGTTTTGATTTGGTTACTATGATGCTGCCTTATTAATAATCCTTTAATTTTTACATCATATTAAAACAAAGCCATTCTGATTTGGACAGGAAAGACAAAAACGGGAAGAAAAAACCTGGGTAAGATTGGACTACGTACTGTGGTTTTCAGGAGGAAATAATCATATCACAAAAAGAAATTGGGAAAAAAACTCTTGGATAAGTACACATATTTCTCTGCTGTTTTTAGACTGACTCATGCTCTTGGTAACTTTGGGGTGCTTTTCCACGCTTTTTGAAGTGTTGTTTTTATTTAATTTTGTTCCACATTCGTGATTACTACCATTTTTTCCCCCAACAACCCTTCTCACTTTTTTCTAACCACAATAACACAGTTTAACCAGACTGGTTTTCACTTGTTTCTATTTCTTCTTCCTATTTCATGATTGCTTTGTTGACAAAAGTGATTATGTCATAATATGCACGTGTTAGTACATTATGTACACTGACCACACTGTCTTCCTCTTTTTGAGGGACTGTTTTGGTTTTTTTTTTGCATGACTGGGGGAATACAGGGAGCACTTATCTTCAAAATATTCATGAGAATTTCTTCATTTAAAGAAGGGGACCACTGACTGTTTTCTGTACCCTTTTCACCACTTGATGACACATTTAACCTTCTTGGTGTATATTTGTGTTAGCTAACAGATTCCAGGTCACTTGGTGTTCTGAGACGTTTGTGGTATCTTTAAAAGCTTTCAACAGCACTTTTTCAATATTTGGATTCCTTCTCCTTCTGTTGCCCACAACATCTAAGAGAATTTGAGATTTGGCACACACAGTTATAGAAATGGCCACCAAGGTTTCCCCCTGCCCCTCCCCTATTTTGACAGTAATTCAGCAATAAAGGCCCATTTACACTGAGGTCAATAAAAAAATCCTTGCGATGAATAAAATTGAACACATTGGCTTCCTTCACATTGACACTGAGAGCAGAGCAACAGCATGATAGAGCGGTGAACCACTGTATTTAAACTTGAGTGATCTTTCAAAGACATTGCAAAGATATCGTATTTTCAGATACACGTATGTTGCTTTCTGGCCAGTCAGTGCTCTTGGTAGGTATCATATACACAGTGGCATGGTTGAATGCTTCCTCATCATTCCTTTGACTTCAAGGAATTCCTGTGGGGGCGCTATTATTATAATGGAGAGTCACTAATTAACAGTTATCCTTAATGCTGATAATTTCTGCCTTAGGTGTGCTAAATATTGTAGTGCATACCATTTTCGTTAATCACAATCAGTTGTTGATCGTCTGTGTAAATGGGCCTTAGATTTGAAAATTGTCAGAAGCCCGAATTACTGAATGTGTGTGTGATAGAAACAATTTTGAATTTGATCTCTTCCAGATTTATTAAGAAGCAAGGGTTGGATAAGGTGTTTTACGAGTGCGACACTCACATGTGGAGGCTGGGCGACCGCAAGCTGCCCGCTGGCATCATCTTGGATGGTGGGTCGGACTGGATCACCATCAATCGTCAGTTTGCCGAGTACCTGATCATGTCCAACAGTGAGTTGTTGGCGGGTCTCAAGCAACTGTACAAGTACACCTTGCTTCCAGCTGAGGTGTGTGGTATGCAGTAGATGTAACTGTTAATTATCAAGAGTAACGCCCGGTACATACTTTGGGGGAATGTGAAAGTGGAGTGAATTTGACGTCACAGAATACAGTAGTTGCCGCCAATCCACCCGAGTTGTGATTTTGTTGCGCAGTTTTTTCATCTGGCATCACAGATTTGCATTTGTGTCCACTTAATGCACAAAGTATGAACCAGCCTCAATCCTAAAAGAGCCGTTGTGTTTTTGGACAGTCTCACAGCTGAGCTGTCCAGTGCATGATCTTTCTAAAATTCTGTATGAATCTAAAGACACTCATCGGTATAATTGTGAAGTTTCAACTCAATCCAACTCATGGTTTCATTTTGATAATCATTTGAAGTTCAAGACCTCATGTGTCAGCCCACTTGCACTGTACAGAATATCTACACAGAATTGGTGTCAAAATGATGACAAGACTTTTCAATATAATTTTCTGAAGACCTGGCCAGAGAAAAAATACACTGTGATGAAATAGGAGAAATGTTGAGGTGAGGGGGCATATTCTGACACTGGCTTCCAGTAACACTCTTACTGGCTGTTGCTAAAACATATCGGACCTACTCTTGCTGTGATAGGCTGGGTGGAAGGGGACTGAGCTGTGTTGCATGGGAGGTAGGATTGTTTAACAGGGACATACGGGCCTGCTTGGGCATCAGGCATAAAATGCATTGTTTTCAGTTATTTGGTATCTTTTCTAACAAGAACATATACAGGGCACTAATTGTCAACAACTTGATATGTTAAACAATTTCTGCAAAAGACTTTGGGGGAGGGGGTCTGATTTTAATTCCATTATTTTGTTGTGTGCTTTCTTTGAAGTTCTGTCTGGACCCCAGCTTGTCGCTTATGTTGCAGAGACCCTCCCAGAATACCATGTCACAATAGAACTCTCATTCAAATTCCTCAAGCAATTATTGTGGTGTGGCTGTTCAGTCTTACATTTAAATCTATCAAAATCCCACAAATGAAGGGCTTTGATTAATGGTAGTTTGGGCAAAGCTAGAATTAATTCAAGGACGTACAAAGTCAATATATTGAAAAGATGGGAATAAGTTTATGCAAAGGTAATGATGATTTACGAATGATTAAAAGAAATGTCTTGCTCTCTTCTTTTGTCTGGGTAGTCCTTCTTTCACACTGTCCTGGAGAATAGTGAACTGTGTAAGACATTTGTGGACAACAACCTGCGAGTGACCAACTGGAAGCGTAAGCTAGGATGTCAGTGCCAGTACAAACACATTGTAGATTGGTGTGGGTGTTCCCCTAACGACTTCAAACCGGAAGACATGTACAAAACAAAGGTGAGAGGTAGTCAAACAAATTTTGCCAAAATTCTAGCGCCTAAAACAAATGCGAGTGCTCTCAAAGAGGCCTAAAATAAATCCTTTAATAGTATATTTACTCTAAATTTCCCCTCTGAAATAAATTGATCTTGTATTCTGTGTCTCTCTTCACCATTCTGAACAATTTGAAACTACACTATGTCAAAATATCTAAGAGGTAACAGTCAAGAGAAAAACCTGAGGTGGTCACTAAAATCAGAGAGGTGGGCCGCCTCACACTTGAATGAGCGGGGGAAACCCTGGTGGTAGACGAGCAAAGTGGTGTTCTCTGTGCATGTCTGCGCAGGTAAATGGTTCTTCAACTTTCAGGCCTAGGGGATGATGCTCAAGGAAAACAAAGCCTTTATGTTTTTGATCTTGCCTCTAGTCAGGTTCCCATTCTCCGTCCAAACTACACACTAAGCTAGAATAGGGTACCAGCAAGAACGACCTCACATGTTAGAGATGTACATTGTTACTCACTCAAAATGAGATAAAAATCTTTCTTAGATTTCTGCCACATTTTACAGACTAAAGTGGAACAGATTGGTGGTATACATAAGTGCGTTCTGCTGCTCAGTCCAGGGAACAGCAATTCCCCTGCTTTTTTTCACAACTGCAGTCAAATTCACTGGAATATTTTCGAAGCTGCCATCAGAAGCTCGAGGTTCCAAAGGTGGTAAAAGACCTCTATCATGGGGCAGCCATCTTGCTTTTCTACAAAGCAGTGTAACCAGACTGAGGCTGGAAGGAAAATAGTCTGTTCCCTTTCATCAATATAGGAAGTTGTATTATTAGTGCTAAAGAGGCTACAGGGAACAAGACAAATATGGCAGCATCATGATAAAGGTCTATAGTGTGGTCACTTTTCTTCCAAGATTTTGTTGAGATGCACTATATCTTAAATTTTAATACCTGCGTAATTAGTCAGAGTTCATGTTGCAAAGTAGGCCTACATCTTGTCTCTTTGTTTTCATGTTATTTTCAGCCAAATCGTCCCGCCTACTTTGCCCGCAAGTTTGAGCCGGTCATCAACCAGGCGGTCATCAACCAGCTGGACTCATTTCTCTACGGTGCATACCCCCTGGGCACCCCGGGTGACCGCACTTACTGGCAGAGCCTTTACCACCACGAGGATGGAGGGACGGAGGCCGCCGGTGACGTTGTGCTAACAGTCTACCAGTCCTTCGTCCGCCAGATGGCAGCTCACATTAACTTGGTCTCACAGGTAAAGCACTTGGCACCTCCTTGGCCCTTTTAGAATTACATGTATGCTTTTAAAGGGTCTGCACAGTGCAGTGCTTTTTGCTACAATTCTTGAGCATGCACTGTTTGGTGTATTTTGGCGCCCCTTTTCATTTTTATGCTGGTGAGCACATTTTCGGTATACAGTTTGAACAGAAACACCTGCGAGCAGAGTCTTTGCTTTTGTCATAGCAACAGTGTCCCGTGTAGTCCAGAAAACAATGGACAATTTCAGATTTTTTTTAAAAAAAGTGCAGCTTTCAGTACAATTAACCCCTAAGGAAGTCAAACTGATCGCACTCCAGCATCCAAGAAAACTTCGCTCGGTCCCTTTAAGAACAGCCTGCGGTCCGATTTTGTCTTCCAATTGGAATATGCTGTTTTTAGATGAGCTTGCACCAGCACAGGCCAGGTTAGCCTCATGGGAATGCCTGGCATTTTAGGCTGTAGGAAAAAGTGCATGTGTCTTCTTCAGGGAATGTATTATTAGCCTCACTGATAAAGCTTGTGAGTCATTCCCTGAACTTCCTTCAGTGGTGCACAGTCCATACTCAATTCAGCTGTGTTGAACCTGCATTTATCAGCTACTTTTCACTGACGTACTCTAAGGGTATTTTTTTTTTCTGAAGAGAGGCAATTTGTTGCAGAGTGTCCAACTTAAGGAGCATGATTTTCTGTTCTGGTTTGACCCCTCAACGAAGTAACTTGAGAATAGGAGACATGTCATGTGGTTTTGCTGCTAATGCTGTCCGTTATTGAAAATGTGTTCCACATATTCTGTTTTCATTTTTCTTTCAAAACTAACGGCATCTATTTATTATTATTTTCAGCAGAAAAGTTAAAAACTTGCTGAGGGGAACTTGAGACTTGCTTTGACAAAAGTTACTTAGGCGCAACTGAAACACATTTTTATTGTTTTTTTTTTTGTTTGACTCACAGGGTCAACCTTTTAGCCACCACTGTGCCTACAGCATCAAGTCTTCCCCGACGGAGGTCACTATGTTCTTCCAGAACGATGATTTCAGGGGAGTGATCGTCTCTGTGGAAGGCCAGACGCCAAAAGGCACCACAGATGTCTTGGAGGTCTGGTTGTCGCTGGCCAGGGAGTACCGAATACTTAGTTATGTGGGGCCAAGTACCAGGCTGCAGAAATTTCAGGTGTGTGTTGATTGGGTGCAGGAATTGAGTGGCAGGGCCAGCTCCTCCCAGTTGCACTTGATATTTGGACATTTTTAGAAGGCGCTGTCCACTGAATCCACTCTATAAAAGAAGTGCCTGTAGGTTTTGAATGTTGCACTCATGTACATCACTACTGATATGCTATTCAGCTTTGATGTCTGCTATACAGAAAAGTTAAGCTTTAGACAGCTTGAAAAGTCAGAAGTTTGCTAATACCCATGTACATGTGTCACAGCAATGCACATGTAGTGTCATCTGCCAATATTGTGGCTCAAAGTGTAACACCATTACCGTTGGTCCTGCTCCCATGTCACATGGTTCATGTGACATTTCCAAGACCATGTCTGTTCCCTTGGCAATAGACACAGAGTTGAATTTAATGGCTGATTCAGAAGCACCTTTTTCCAATTTATTGATGGGTAGATGGCCCTAAGATTGTTTGTTACACGTGGATGAATCTTGGTTTTGCAGTCCTTGTATCAAATGGAACGTAGCCTCACTGATTCTTTGTATAAACAGTCTGGAGTGAAGTGCTTAGCTTGTGAAATACAGAAGAAGTTTAGATGTAGCACACGAGATATCAAGGCAGTTTTCTAATGATTGCTTGTCTGCACAGGTGGGTACGCAGTACGACCTCAAGGAGCGTGTACTTCGTAACTTTGCAAATATCATGGGCCCAGAGGATAGCCCCGTTGTCTTCATCAAATGGAAACCTGGGGAGCAAGTCCAGGTGACGATTTCCTGGATCGATCCCACCAATCACATTGCGGGCTCGTTTGACACCACTGTGGACCACGACAAGGAAGAGACCCACCACAGTCCGCCCTTCAAAAAACCGCTGCGGCCCGGCAAGTGGTACGTCAAGCTGCTGTACCAGTGGATGGTGGTGGCCGAGGTGGAATTCCTGATCGTCCCACAGGCCCTGGCCGAGGGCCGGCCCATCCAGCGCTACGACTCCACTCTGCTCAACTCGGGTGTGCCCAATGACAGCTATGTCGAGAAGGACTTCTCCAGCATGAAGCCCATCTTCCAGCTGGCTGACTCAGCCACGCTGGTCGAGGAGGCCAACAAGCGGGCCCGGAATGACGGGGAAGCCCTCCATGACTGGGTGGATGAGATCCTGGGCCAGCATTGGTCAGTCATGGGCTTCTGCGTGGCCCCAACCAATGGTAGCAAACTGGCCGAGTGTCGGCAATTCAAACCTTGCTACAGTCAGTCTTGGAGCACACTATCGCCAGATCCAAAATCAGATCTCAGTTACATCAAAGCAGATGGTCGAATTAGGTGATAAAAGAAAAAAACCAAAACACATCGGAATGAACTGTTATTGTTTATTGACTTGTCACAAATACCAGTGAAACTGGTTCCCGAGTAAGTTTCTTGGAATGAGCAATAACAAGAGGAAACCGGAATAAAAATGTTTGGTGTGTAGGAATTGTTTGGTTGGGGTGATATGTGAATAGTAGATAAACTTCCTTAAAAAATCATTCTAAAGGAACAAAATATGATTTAGTTCTCAGAAAATAGGCAGTGAAAAATACAAGCCTTCATCGCATGTTTTGAAATTATTTGACAACGTTTAGCACAACGATTTCTTGTGCCACTTGAAATGGTATTGGGAAAAGCCCGCCAGTTTCACAACAATATCAGTACATTCCATGTGTTATATACAAATGAAATTTAAAAAAAAAACAAAAGCCAAAACGAAACTAAAAGAGAGTATTTATTTTTATACAGTAATTTAACCCTGTGGTTTACTGGTGCTGTACATATTACAGCTGTTGATGAATAGAATTATAAGTAGTTTCTAGTTTTATATGTTTTGTACATGTATGTCTTAAATATCGCTTTTGTTTAAAACTGCCCTTTTTTACTAGCTTTCTTGCAAAGATACCATGTCTTGAAACATTGCTTGAAGTGTTGGATACAATTCTTTTCCATGTCAAACCCAGTGCAGGCCTGTTTATTTTACCTCCTCAAAGTTTCATCAGGACATCTTGAACATTTCTTTTTTTTTTACCGTAGTTGGTGTCCACCTCAGTTCTTATCATTTGGGTTCTGCACTGCAGGCTGATTGGTAAGGAGCAGTGTGGTTTTTATGACTCGAAATTCAAGTTAAGAATTTCACTGTTCAAGAAGTTTATTGGTGCTCAGAAATGCTAGGATGCATTTGTGGATTTGCTGCCTCTGATTTGACAGGCCAGCTTTATGAAAAGAAGTATTTATTGAAAACGATGGCAGTCAACCTTCAAATTGATGGCTAGTTTTGAAACGTGGAAGGTACATTTATGGTTATACCTTAAATGCACTTTTGATGTAAAATGACTGCTGATTATTAATTTTTATCATTTTCTCTTTCTTAAGAGACTCCAGCATTATGACTAAGCATCCGTTTAAGTAATAAAAGGTTTGTACTTATTTTTACGGCATTTTGTGTGTTTTGCTGATGCTGATATTGCTTTACCAAAAGCAAGTTGATTTATTTCAAGAGGCTTTTGGAAAAGGGGAGATTGGTATTTGTCAATTGGTGCTGTAAGAAGTTGCCATGAGAGTTTGTTTTTTTAGCTTGTATCAAAGTTGAATAATTGTAATATTTCTGATTTGATTAAGGTGTTGCAAGAGCGCACGTCAATTGGGTCATTCAAGGTACTTATTTGTTTCAGTGAAATCAGTTGAAGAGATTTAAGCCACGTTAGCAGCATTGTGGATGCTGTGGGCCTCCTCATCAATGACAAATGAAATGCTGTGTAAAGGATGCAGCAATTTCTTTAAAACAAATTGTCCATCTCATGAATTAAAACCACAGCTTTCTGTGAATCATGCATTTCAAATTGATATTGTAAGAAGCATTATGTGAAGCTGCAGTTTGCACAAAGTGAAATGTCATCTTCTTGGAGATAAATGTCCTCGCTTTTTTTCAGGGTGCAGGACAAGATAGATTAGATAGATTAAGAAAGACAGTACCCTGGCGTTTAATCAGGCTTTAGAGAAATGATTGATCATCACTCCTACCCGCCCCCCTTATCCGTGGCAGGGTTAACCACCACGAGATTTGATGAAGGAAATGCAGATGCTGCAAAGCATTGTGGGTTGCTTACTGCCAAGCTAGCTGTATGTGCATTCCTCGCGTGGGTCGGAGAATTGATCCTGGGTAACTAGCGGAACAAAATCCAGCCAGTGCGAGCTTGGAGAAATTAGGTACCACTAGTGTCCTTTGGTGAGGAAGTGGGTAAGTGTTGGTCGTGCTTTATCTTACAAATGCTACGTCAGAAATTGTGACAGCCGTCGATATAAGTCAATCGAGAACGGATGTAGCCACTTCCCATAGGGGGGTGTGTGTGTGTTACTAGTGCCGAGCGCAGACTCAATCCGTTAGACAGTTTGCTTTCCACTCATGCGCATGCGCTCGTCGTTTATTTGTGAAAGGTTCTGTGCTGCTGTACTTTGGTGACAGGGTGCATGGAGATTAATCATACCATACGACTGCACATTTTGGTACATGTGTATCAAGTATTATAATGTAAGTTTATCAAGGAAACAAATCTATTCAACAACTTGTAAATACAATTTTTCTGCTTTAATGTAATTAAAGTAATGATCCCAGAAATGTGGAAAGAATGTTGCTGTGATTGTAATGCTTTTTGTACTCTTCCGTAGGCCTACTGGAAAAAATCTAGTAACTGAGTTAGGTTCGGACAAGGCAGAACCTTTTTCTGTGATCAGCCGTGGTTTGTTTGTATGTCATTTTCTGTGCTCAAGCTTTGAAGTTTAAAAACCTTTTAAAAGTTTAACAACAAACGTACTGGAGACGTTGAAGTAAAGGATTTGGCAACTGAGAAGCCTTCTATGAGGAATGCATGCAAAAGTGCCAGTGTAAGAACATCATTGTTTTCTCGAAAGAACACTTGCGTAATTGCTGGAGGGGGCCTGTGGAAGAGAAGAACTTGCCTTTGCAAGATGGCTACTGCGCAAAGCCTCTATTCCGGGCTACTTTACTGGCCTACATCTAGAATGCGCACGACCTGGTGAACGACCCATTTTTTTCCCAAACCAATTGCGTCTTACCGTCACGAAGGGACGGGCATGTGGATTTTGAAGAAAAATGCTTTCGAGATATTTGGGAAGAGAAGTTTCTCCTGTTTAAAACTGCTAAAACTACTGCTTTGCAACAGATGCCTTCACATTCTTTGAAAAGTAACTTTTACTTGAGACTTCAATGAGCATGGGTTTGTCAGAGGAAATTAATTAGTAAAGATGCGTGTTTATTTGTGAAATCGAAAGTTCACGTTTTCCTACATCTAGGCCCTCCGTTAATTTTTTTCTCCACGCATGGTTACGCACGCGCAGTTGAGGATATAACAAAGATGCCCGTCGCGAAAACAGAAATGACAGTTGACCTTTCCGTTTTGTCCTACAGGGCAATACGTTTTGTATATGTGGACTAGGGGCAGGTACATGTATTTTGCGTCGCTTGGTGAAAAACGCAAAATGCAGTTATTGAAATGCCTGCCCCTGGCATCATGGGGTGCGTTCGATTAGCTTCCCTGAATACACCAGTGTTACACCAAGGGAAGCCTCAAAAAGAGGCTTATCGAACGCTGCAGGGTGTTTTCCAAGGCATTCTGGGAAAAAGGTCAAGTCCCCGCCTCATTCCATGTACGTCCATGCTCGAACAGTCCATTTGTGACGTCATTACACTCGGGCAGCCTCCAGAGACCCGCTCGCCAGCTGGGGTAGTGGTGGCTGACACCAGGGCAGGCACGAACATCACGTGATGGCTAAACGAACGCTCTCGTGTAAGTTTGACTTACACATGTAAGCTAATCGAACGCACCCATTAATGTCATGCAGAAATTAATCACGTTTTTCTAAGAAAAACGTAAAGCAAGTAAAAATGGATACGTACGACGCTTTCAAGTAAAAGACTGAAAAAAGAAATGGAAAACGTTTTTAACTTTCCCGTCCCTTCGTTGAAGTATGGAGTTATTTTATAATTTGGTGAAGTACTGTCGGGCTGTTCCTCCTTCTAATGGGTGGCCCAGCTGTCTGCTGTGGGCCTGCTGTTCCTTCTACAGCTACGTGGGCACCTCCGTCTTCTGTCGTCCCACTCTACCGTCTACTATCGACGCGCTCCGCATTCAACCATGCTTCAACAGTCTGGCCCACGTCTTTCTACATTATATAGAGGATTATATTACAAAATAAGTCGGGTGTTTATTGGACAGTGGCCATTCAGAGACGGTCCATGTTGAAATAAAGATGCCCAGCAGCCAGTTAAGCTTGTGACTCTTCACGGACCTCTGACTGTGTTGAAACTCCAGTCAAATATGAATGAAAAACTGTTTAATTAACTCACTGAAGGGGGAGGGGCATATCCCTGCACTTATCGCAGGGCCTGTAATTGGGTGGGGCTTAATGGACCAACCTATTAATGGCTGATGCCTGATGGTCTCGAAACTGCCCTCCACCACTTTGAAAATCGTTCCACCGCCGCAGTTTTAACTCCACTCGGTTGGTAACAGGATTCGCTTTTTAATGATTTTCTGCCAAATCCTTTCTAAGACTAGTTTGGTGAAAGGTTGACAAGTCTTTTTAATAGTTTGCCTTTGATCAAATGAATCGGTGTCCTTAGGTCATTCTAGCCCTGCTCTTGTTATGCCATACTTCCTTGAATATCTAGATTTTTCTTCTTGGATAAGTTTCAGTTGAATTTACAAGAAGTAACTGAATCAACCGAATCCTAGCTGCGGGCACCTCTACTCCGACTTTCTCTGGGACCACTCACCACTGTCGAACGAAGCCGGACCGATGTTGGTATCGTGACATTTCTTTATGATGCTTTTAGGGTATGGTATAAGTTGACGTTGCTTGTATTCATTTGAAAGAGATGTTCAATTTCAATGTTGACTGGATTCCGATTATGAACTTGAAATCAGTTCTGAAAAGCATACAGTCTGCCTGAACACACGAGTTCTGTTCACTATTCCCTGCACATTGTATGTTGAAATCGTCACATTCGCAAGTAGTGACCCACCACGCAAACATCTCTCTTTAAAATTATTATACGCTCGACACACCCCCTAAAGTCGAAACTACTATTTTGGCTCACTAAATCTTGTGATGAGAAAAACCCAAGCCAAAACGAACAAGTATCGGAACCCCGCTAGGCCTACTCCAACACAACGACTGAGGAGATCAAATCGCTACGGCCCATAGCCCTGCGCATGTAGCCGGGCGGCCTTCTGGAGGGTAGCCTAAAAAGGTTCGATAGTAGAGTAAGTAATAATATGCATGTTATTACGTCACAAGAAGCTCATGATTAATACATATTTATCGCGGAAAAGCATAATGCACTAGCAAGCAACGTGTTCGTTGTTCATGGCCACAGAGGCAACTTTTGATTCAAGTAAACCCCTGGCCCTAGCTGTTGTTCAGTTATAAACGGGGGGGGGGGAGCCCGGGCATACAGCGAGCATCGAAGACATGCGACACCGGAACAGGGGTGTTGGGACTATCTTCGCTCCGAAAAATGTGTACTTGCACTGTCACCCCACTTCTAATGTACTGTATGTTTTCGAGTATGAGAAGAGCCCTCTGTCTACTGTCGCGCGCGTCACCGTTTTAGCGACAACCGTTACTTTTCACAAGCCTTCTTTCTACTGTCGCGCCACCACCCCCTACTGTTGCTCCAAAATAGTCATAAGGTCTACATTTGACAATTCCTCTTTCTACTGTCGCGCCACGACTTTTTACTGTAACCCCATTTACCAAGTTATCACTTAAACAAGTCCAATTTCTACCATCGCGCCACAACCCTCTACAGTCGCCCCATTAACCGACAATCCTTACTTTTCACAAGTTTTCTTTCTACTGTCGCGCCAAAATAATCATTTGGCCGACATTTAACAAGTCTTCTTCCTATTGTCGCCCCCTTTAACGATAGCCATCACTTTTAACAAGTCCACTTTCTGTTGTCGTGCCACCACCGTCTACTGTCGCTCCATTATCACTTTTAACAAGTCCTCTTTCTACTGTCGCCCCACTTCCTTCTACTGTCGCCCCCTTAACTGATAGCCATCACTTTTACCAAGTCCTCTCGAACGTACGTGCTGTATGTGAGGACAAGAATATAGCCACGATGACGTCAGGGTCGTGCATATTTATTACGCTCTCTACTGTCGAACCTTTTACGCTATCTCTGTAGAGGTCTAGTTCTGTTCCCTTTCAGTACGCACGAGAGAAAAGGTACTCTTGGCGTTCTTGCGGGTACTGCGAATGACGATAAAGCGTTAAGCAAATACCGTCCACAAAAGATTTTTTAAAAGGCTTTCATAAAAAAAAATTGTCATTGTCAGTACCAATGTCCAAGTAGGCCTACTAAATGTGCGTAGGCCTATGTGAGAACCCTGGGTTAAACAGTCTGTGCACACCGTCTGCATTTGTGACTTCACTGTTAAGTCTTTTAGAAGTTGGCGAGCTTGTATTGCGTTTAACCACGGTAATTGGTAAGGTAGCGTTCTTTTGTTTGCCCGTAACGGTCATTATTTCTCTATGGGAAGGAAACTGGAATAGAGTGGGGAATGTTAAAACAGAATATTCACATCTGTTTGCGACGAAAAGATCGTGCCGCTTGAAACAGAACAGGTGTACATATATCTAGGTGAAATTTCATAGCGCTACTTTCAAGTTGAAGCACAGACGCAGACAACACTGAGAGTGGACGAGAATATTATGCCAGCTCTTGGCTTTTGGCTCCGTGCAGAAGTGACATCCCTAGAATTATCCTTGGGGTGCAAAAATGCGCAGCATTTGACTCCAACTACAATAACCTTGTTTGTCAAATGTAGCCAACTGATGGGAGCATTCTCAATTCAAGTTTGGTACTCCCGGTTGCGAGGTTTGGGACAGTTTCCCGCCACTAACCGAGCACATCATGTGCACGCTTTGTACAGTTCTACAGTGTTATAATTTTACATAGTATAGCGTAGTTGTTTCCGGGGTACTACCGGGGGACGGATTGTCATTGTCAGAGCTGTTTATGAAGAGAGTTGCGACATGAGTGTCTCAGTTGTCAGAACCTATATTGTGGATTATGTGTCATTGCACATGGAAAATGATCACACAATACATAGTTACATGCTGTACTACACACATAATGAACAACCATTTTGGTTCCAAGGTCTAAAAGTTGGCGCTACTCTCTCTGTATACAGCTCTGGTCATGGTTAAGCCCCGCCCACAGTTTCTGATAGTCCAGCATAACCAATCCCGTCCCCGTCCCTCCTTCATCCACATGCAGATTGGAAGCAACAACAAAAATCATGTGTCGTTGTGTGGCCACACTGTTTTATCCCATCCAACGTTTTTACCGGCCTTTCGTCATTTTGTTCTGCTGATTATAATTCGACCCTGATTGTAAAGGGTCCGTGATATAAATTTTTACATTGGAGAATGTAAGCTGACTATCTGATTAATTTCTTTTTGGCAACTTTCATCCCAAACTGCCCTCAGTGCAAAAAGGGTAAACAATTTTATGTGTTATTCCTGACAAATGAGGGCGCCCTTGCCGCGAAGTCATGATGACAGGCTAGGAAGACACGACATGCATTCATTTGGGGGATTTTCCATTCAAATAGTGAACTCAGAATTTGCTCACTGAAAACAGTTCTGAGAAAATTTGTTCGGTCATTTACTATCATGGACTGAAACAGCAACGGAGCTTTTAAGTAAATAAAATTTATCACAGCTGAACATCCAAATTTGGGGAAAACTGTGATGCAGAATTATCTGTAAAACGGAGATTTCTACATCGATTAATGTTACATTTTTGCTCCCAGATAATGTAGGTTGTCTACAAAAGAAAAAAATTGTGTTAGATGGGACACAAAGGATTATTTACAAGAACTACAGTAACATTTGGATTGCACAGGGCCTTCAATACCACATGCAATCCCAATCTCTCTCTATCTCTACATGTATATGAATTATGTTCCAGTACATTTTGGTACATCTCTTTTTTTTTCAATTTTTTTTTATTTCAAAACACCTCCAGGAACTCTTTATCTCAAACTAGATGGAGAGAGGACCTCATTTAAATTCAGAAGGACAGGAATTTCCGAGAGAGGAGCAGGAGGAAGACGACAACCTTAACGAAGGAAATGATGTCGGAACTGATCTAATCGCCGAGCCAAAAGCTCGCTCAGCGGTCCCTCCCTCATCAGATGCGTCATCCAGCGGGGACAGCGTTGATGAGGATGTGCCTTATACTTGCTGCTGTCTGTGGACGCCAAAATGGGCTCAGCGGTTGGCCTCCCCGCTGTTCTTCCTCCTCGGTGTCTGCTTGGTGGTCTTCGGCGACGCAGTATCCATGGGAGTTTTCACCGGCACAATCACGTCCATCGAGACCCGCTACGGTCTCACGGCGGCAGACCTCGGTATCCTGGTCACAGCCTACAGCGCCGGCAACATGGTGGCCCTGCCGTTCATGGCGTATTTCGGCGGGCGTCGTCGTGCCAGCCGGCCCCGGTGGATCGCCTCGGGGACCGTGGTGATCGCCGTTGGTACCATAGTGAATGCCTTGCCCCAGTTCATATTCGGCAAATACGACGCTGTCCTCTCAAGTGACCAGGTGGAGCTGATTTTTTATACTTCTTGTTAAAGCGGTGACGAGGCGAATTAACTTTCCTTCAACTGTAGTTGTTTTCATTGTGACGCATGCTGTTTACTCCCAAATTGATTTTATTTTCTGAGAAACCCTCTAAAATGACCATACCTGTTTCTTTATAGTGAAGTCTAACTCTTCTTTAAAACAATGTAAACTTTAAATACAAAGTGCATTTTCTCTTCAGTTTGCCCCCTGATACCAGAAGCTGGATACACAAAGGGTACGAAGATGAAGGAAAAAGTAAAACATACCGATTTAAAAATATTTTAGTGAAAAAAATGGATTGTTTGCCAATATCCTCTATTAGAGTAATAAAGCAATTATCAGAAAGGGGAGCATTTTTGTTCGTTATTTTGTTATCCTAATCCCTTATTTTTCAATCTAGATCGACAGCCTCACTTGTACGACTGACAGCGATACTGACCATTGCGGTTCTTTCGACACAGTCGGTACAGAAAACAGTGCCGCATTCTGGATCATGGTGTGTGGGTCTGTCGTAAGCGGTGTGGGCTATGCGGCCATACCGACCCTCTCCTTGTCTTACATTGACGACAACTGCAGCACAGCCACCACCGCAATGTATGCAGGTTGGTGCTGGAATGAAATGGATGGAGGTGTCGTCGAACCTTTAACTTCTGAACATCCCTTCTGGAGCTCTATACCAACTTGAGCCTCCAGCCCCCTGTCCAATTATCGATTAACATTGAACGTCGACGTCGTACAGAAGTTTGTTTAAGTGATATAGCAATTTTTTCGACCAGAGCAGAGATGATTTAGAAACTCCAAAATCTGAAAGTGTGTAGGCTACTTCAATGCATGTCAGGCTAGCAAGATTTAGATTTAGATTTAGAAATAGGTCTTCGTGCTGACACAGCACATGATGAACAGGACAGTTTACCGGTAACAAAACTGACAAAGTATGAAATTGTCATCGCTTAATAGGCGCAAAAAACGCGCTGGTCTTGATTTGAAATTTGGTGCATGATGCCGTCAGTGGGAATACAGATTTGGTTATGGAATAATCGCTGAGACTCTCAAGCTTACCACGGCACAAAGTGGTGGTATTTGCATTCATTTTAATCTCGTTTTGTGTCGGTAGGCATCATCGAGAGCATGTACGGCATCGGCTCCATGATCGGCTTCTTCATCTGCTCCTTCACCCTGTCGTTCTGGGTAGACTTCTACCGCGTGGATCCCGACACCGTCCTACCTGCCCAAGACCACCCGGCCTGGGTTGGCGCCTGGTGGTTGGGCTTGATCTTCTGCAGTCTCTTTTTCGTGCTGAGCTGCCTGCCGCTCCTCGGCTTTCCGAGACGGCTGCCTGCCCGCTTCAAAAAGGAATGCACTGCCAAAGCGATTGATGGGAGACGGACTGGACTCGACGAGGCACATGACCCCGGGGAAGGTCAGAGCGGAGCTGAGTTTCTCGACGACTTTTCTGGCCTCGCTGGTTTAACAGTGATCCCTTTTAACACTAATAGCCTTACCTTTGTTTCCAACGTACCCTCCCATATACGACATAATTACATCAGCTGGTTTAACCCAGTCTAAAATGCCCCCTACAAATTTCTGTTACCAAGGGACACGCCCCAACCAACGATGTGCCTGATCGGACAATCTGTTTGAAATTAATTCGACAAAAAGTTGTTGGTTGCTTTATATTGTATGCCCATAGACAAGCACCATACAGTGCGTATGCAATTTTCCGTATTTCTATAGATAGACCCTATAACACAAAGCTCGAATAGATATTTTTAAACCTTTCCACGTCTAGGCCAAGAATTGCGTGAAAAAGACAACGCTGATCCGATTTGTGAAAGCGGTAACGAAGAGGAAGGGCCGGTTAAGGGTAGGAATTTTGCTGATGTTGCGTGACTCGACTGTATACGCCAGTGGTCGGTGCAGTAATTTCTTAGCGACTTTGTTGACAAATACCAAATCGCACCTTCGGATTTCAAACTTATATTAGCAGAAGTATAACCTCCTCGCAAGGTCATTCTATGTTTTACTTGTTAAATATTCTTCACTTGGTTATAGAAGTTAAACTGGGGGCCATCAATCGAACAAAATATCTGAGGGTGGCACCGCACTTTCGCTTGCGTGCGTTTGGCAAGTCCTGATATCATATTGATCTCTATGTTTGGGATCATTAGTCGAAGGGGTATGTAACGCACGCGTATGCACTGCCAAAGCAGTAATGGCCACTAATTCTGTTTGCCGAACTACAGGGTAACGTTACAGGGTAACGTGTCACGTGATGGTTCTGGGCCAATGGAAAAACAGTATTGTTTGAGACGGAGGTATGGCAAAGTCGGAGGAAATCCTTCGCCTGATCACGTTTAGATTTATTCCATGAAGCTGCTTAAAGAACCAATATATGGACATTTTCGGTGCATTGTAGTCGAAGTATTTTGTGAGGCATTACTCTGTTTCTTGTCTCAACCACAGGACTGACAATTATTGGATCTCAACGCGTGCATAGGCATCCCCTTTTCGCCTCGTAAGTGCAAATTGAGTTGACTTTGCCATCACCGATTGACTGCTTTGTTCCCCCTTTCCAACCAGGTCTTCTGAAAACCTACCTTCGCCTGTTGAGAAACCCCATAGTAATGTTTATTACAGTGGGCATGGCCTGTCAGATGCTCCTTGGGTATGGCTTTGGTACTTTCTTCGCCAAATATCTGGAAAGTCAATTTGAAATCACCTCGTCGTTAGCCGATCTCCTCACAGGTCAGAGAGTGGCTCCGTGTTTCGATTTTGAGAACTACAATCCTGCTCAATCTCGTTGGGCCCCTCATCCCCGGGCCCCCCTCTCAATGCACGGTCCGCGCTCCAGCTCGAGATGACAACATTGACCGGGGGAAGTGGGGGACCCAGGGAGGGTAGGGCTATTGACAAGTGCATCAACAATTTTGGCCGGGATTGTAGATCGTGGTCGAATTGATAGAGTGCTAAATTCCTTTTCATCGTGGGTTTTACCCTTGTGCTGATGTATATTAATTCATAGCACTACAGGCCTATACTCATTTGTCCGAGAGCTCGCGAAAAAAAACAACCCGAGCTTACTCGAGTGGAACTGGGACCCATGGCCTCCTGCGTAACAACATCTTAACCGAGCTAGCCGGGGTCGGCTGGCCGCTTCAAGTCAGATTTGGCAGTGGGTAAAGAAATCAGTTGTTTCCAAAATATACGTCGGGTAGATGTTATTTAAAAAACAACCATTAAACTACATCTCTAGATTGAACTTAAAGGGTCGTTGTTGTGTAGGGGATCTGTTGCGTGATTCTTCAATTGTACATGTAAAGTTAGTGCGAATAAGGGGAAATAAAACAAAATTTCAAACTCAATGCTGTGATATGCATGCAAGATGACAAGAAAACAACTCCATGACAATTAAAAGAAAGGGAACAATAATTACTAGATCTAGTTGATGCCATTTATTAATTGACAGCAAATCAAATATCTAAAGCGAGGTAAATGGAGTCAGAAGACTAACCCTGAGTGGGTTAGGGATAAAGATAAATGACCTAATTTACATGTTTATGTGACTTAATTTAATTTGATTGTATCTAATCATTAAACGTTGCCGTTCCTCGTTGTAGGTGTGGCTCTCGTACCGTCTTACGGTGTGGGCTGGGTTCTTGGCGGATTCATCGTCCGTAAGACGCGGATGGAATACACAAAGATGGTCTTCTTTGCCCTGGGATCAATCCTCCTTGGAGTGACAATTTTCATCTTTTTGTTGTTCTTCGGCTGCGGTAACCCTCAAATAGCAGGAGTGAACGTGGGATACCAGAGTCAAAGGTAAATTTGTTTGACATTTCGAGTCGGTAAAACCGCCATTCTTTAGGAATCTGAGAATACGAGTAAAAAATAACAACAGGAAGACGTAAATATGGCATCTCTACCACCTGCTCTTCCCATGTATGCCTATAGCTTGCACGAAATTTCCCTGGTTGCCGACTGCAATGCAAATTGTAGCTGTTCGTCGGCTTCTTACCAACCAGTCTGTGACGAAATCAATGACGTCATATATTTTTCCCCGTGCCATGCTGGCTGTAACGACACAACCGGTGACGTGAGTGTAATTATGTATTTTTTTTCTGAAAAGATGACCCGGTTCCGATACCTTGCATGCATCGAAAAACCATCGACAAAACATTCCTGATGGCACCGGGAGAAATTAGCCTCAATTCCTTATTTGTAAAAATAACTTAAAAGTTAAACAAGATTAATCAAGAACTATTGGTACGAATTGAAAGCCGAATCAAACAGAATGATTGCGATGATAATGAACTGCAGTTTTCGATCACGGAGTATATGGTACCCTGAAGCCTCTTTGTAATGCTTTTCTTTCGGTTGACAACCTCTTTCCCGCCACAGCGTTCGTACAGCAACTGCTCGTGTCTGTCTACTCCGAGCGTCACGGCCGTCGCTGGGCTGTGTGATTTCCACTGCAATCGCCTCGCGGCTTTCATAGGCCTGGAAGTACTTCAGACGATGGCGTTCACTGTGGCTGGCGTGCCCCAATTGCTTTTAGTACTCAGGTATTCGGGAATATCAATAAAAACCATTCTTAAACTTTAATGATAGTGTACTGTGTTTTCAAATGCTAAATTTTACTCTAATAGAAAAAAATTATAAGGCAAGGACACATTTTTTTAAATGAAAGCTTCCAACTCGGATGAAACAAACAAACAAACAAACAAACACCCCAACACCCCAACAAACAAACAAACAAACTGTGCATTATACCTATGCCTTTTATTTTATTAATCTTGCTATAATTATTCACCGAAAAGTCAAGTTAGTTTCTACTGCACATAACCATGTAATAAAGTACTTATTGCAATAATGATGGACGCACCATCAATTCTCTTGTTCTCGTACTGATTATAGACAGTTACTTTTTCTGATACACAGGTTCGTGGATCCTGCGGACAAGACTGCTGCTCTTGGCCTGAATCGACTTTGTCAGGGTCTTGGTGAGTTGACTGTTATTTCTAAATGCTAGGCACTGTAGTGAGACGCACATGTACAACACCCTCGTGCTTCACCTGACGGCCTTCCGCTGGTCTTTCCTGTCCCTCTTACGTATACCTCTCCGTTTGAGGAGTCTAGTAACAACACCTGCACATTGTATGAGCTGTGTGCGGACTTTAAATGGCAAATTTTTGTAAATAAAGATGTACGTAGAGGCAGAATATTAGCAATCGAAATGCACCGCCTTTCGGTGAGAATGTAGGATAACTCTGACTATCATATAGTGTGATATTCAGGTCAAACTGTTGAAAAACCGACGGGAGCGGTAGACGCTGAAAGTTAAGTGCAGCAATTTTTTTCTTCCTTATTTATGTCTAAAAGGAAGAAAACTCAAATGTTGGTGAGTTTCAGTTGAAGATGAAAACAAACTGAACAGTAAGTTTTCTGTTACGTCGTACCATTTGCCTACATAGGTGGTTTGGTAGGACCTTTGATCTACGCCGCCATTGTCGACATGTCGTGTCTCGTGTGGCAAGCTGAGTGCGGGCAGTATGGTGCCTGCCAGGTCTACGACATCGAACTTTATCGCAAACTCTTCATGGGCGTGTCTCTGATCATCGGTGCCCTTGCGGCGACTGTTTTGTGTCCCGCGTATTTCTTCATTCGTAGGACCGTTCGCAAACGGGCTGAGGGAGCCTCACCGAGAGGAGATTTATACATCATACTCAAAGATGTGAAAAAAGTGGATGACAGTGAAGAACCTTAAGCATGAAAGAGCGTCTTGAAAATCGAAACAGTGACTAAGTGATCGCCGTGAAAACGGGTCAGTCCTTCGATAGGATAAGTTCAAAGCCCAAAAGGGTTTGCCACTTTGGTTGCCGACGAAACTTTATTAAACCTCTTTAAACTGTAGCCACACCCTCGACGCAGTGGGAGACCCCTGGAGCTGCATTCAGCTTTATCTTACGAGAATGGATTTGTAAAAATGAAACCCTAAACATGCATCAGCATGATGCCGCTGCGCTCTCACATCTTGAATGGAACTTATACCAGACAGTAATTGGACCCTGTATGCTTAGAGTTTAGAAATAATATGGTCAAAAATAGAAGTATATGTTGCATTAAATATATCACGAAACAAATTCTATAGGGAAACTGACCAGATGCTTATAAGTGATTATAAAGATGAACAAAGAAATTGACTGGAGTGGGATTTGAATCTGCGACCTCCGGAATACCGTACCGGTGCTTTGCCAGCTGAGCTATCCAGCCCTGTGTTGGTGACTCTTCCCATTTTTCAGTATCTTTGTTCGTTCGGGGGGGGGGGCCGCTGGCCAGAAGCCATTAAACCTGAAACACCATGTAGCCAGGGATCACGCCCTGATAACACGATACAACCTGGGGAGTGGTGAACAGCATCACTCGGAAAGGATACTGCTTTTTGAACATAAAACATGAAACAAATTATATATAGAAACTGGCATTAAATGTAGTTTAGTCTTTGTACACGTACTTACAAGTTTTCGATGAAAATTTCAAACACGTGCTGCAAGCCACGAAAAGATTAATCCATGTAAAGATATGTAATATTTCTGCACTTAAAGCACAATTAGAAGGAAATATATACATGTATTTGAATGTTGTCAGGACAACCCTGGTGGTAGTCTCTACCTATAACGTTTTTAACTTAGGCTGCATCCGAATCTGTTGTCTAGTAGAGCTAGGTCTAGGTCTTCCCTCCGTTGGAAATGTGCGGAGATGCGTAGACATTAGACCTAGCCATAGCTCTGGAAGCCCGTATTGGACACGGCCTTAGTTTCAATTCAGTGATTGACGGACAGTGGAATTCGAATTAAAATCCGTTCTTTTTAAGAACAAGTCAAACCACAGGCCGTTAACTACTCTTTACATTCCATTTGATTGCCCCGTGGATGTGTTTTTATTATACTCCCTGCAAATCTTTTTCCTAAGGGTTAAGGTGTCTGTAAAACACAACGCGTATTGCTGCCAACGCGAAAAAATATTCTATCTCGTTCAAACGACTTATTATCTCGTTTAAACGACTTACTATCTCGATAAAACCACATTGTTATCTCGCTCAAACGACTTGGTATCTCGTTTAAACGACTTACGTGTAGATATCTCGGATAAACGAGATAAAATATTTTTTTGCGTTGGCAGCAATACGCTTCCGTTGTGAAAAATACTTCCCAAGTTACGAAGACTTAAAGTTGAAGTGAGAAATGAGATCACGAAAAACCCAATCAAAAATCAAGCATGGGATCACGGACGTATATA